CCTTCCACCAATGCTTTGTACTGTACGACATAAATACTGAATTATTTAAACAAAAGCAACACGTTTCCACCTTAAAGCTACTGTCACACATGAAGCCTGCAGGTCTCCTGAACCTGTCAGTGCTGGAGTTAAGTATTCAAAAGTTTAGAATCACTATGTAATGTTTTTTTTTAAGGACCGTATAGTGATAATGATCACATGATCGATCAGTAAAACATTTCAAATGCTATAAATGCATGCTTTTGTTTGCTGTTCTGCAACTTGCAGCAATGACAGCTGTGCAGACAGCAAGTTTGTTGAAATATTCATGTGAAATATTTTTAAATCCCATCCCGCTTTTCAAGAAATGTAATCATACTTTCAATAAAGGCACAGGTCAGTAAGCAACACGACTATTTGAAATGTTCTAATAATAGAGATTTCCTGAGCACTAAATTTACATAATGATTTTTAAGGATTATGTAACACAGCATTTTCTGCAGGAAAGGGGACTTTTGAAAATGGATTAAAAGTTATTTCAAGTGTATAATGTATTTTATAAATTTCTGAACAGAGGCATTAATCTTAATAATCATAAATCCCCATAATCTTAGGGATTTCAAACTTGTTAAAAAAATTAAAATTGTTAGATTAAAACTTCAAGGTGCATATGTTTCAGTGCTCCGACTTTTTCTGACCAGCGTAAATCTGACTGCTTTACCATAACATACATCCCAGAAAACATTGAGATATTCCCTCTGATCTCTTATCCGTAAAGACAAATATTCCATGAAATCCAACAATTAAATGATTACACAACAATATAAAACTCAGAAAATAGCATAAATATTGTAAATTATTAGATTAAAACACTTTGTCTTTTTTCAGGTTGCTACTGAAACATATCCATAGATCCTTCAAAATGCATCTGGATGCTAGCTTAGAATCTCCCTGTTTTTATTTTTATTTTGCCACTTGCTTCCACTTTCCCCATCTTTTTGTCTAAAAATGCACTGCGAGCAATTTACAGTCTCATGT